GGACCCCCACCCTGATCCGGGACACCCTTCAGGGCAAACCAGCCGGCCCCCACCTGTGCACCAGGCCTCTATCCTATATAATAAAAGGGTAATATGCAAACTGACCCTAATAGCAGAAAGACTGGGAATGACTGGTCACTATGACACACAATGACCACCAGGGGGCAGACGCTCAGTGCAGGAGCTGCCCCCTGGTGGTCAGTGCGCTCCCACAGGGGGAGCTCTGCTCAGCCACAAGCCAGGCTGTCGGCTGCCAGTACAGTGGTGGTGGTGGGAGCCTCTCCCGCCTCCTCAGCAGCACTAAGGATGTCAGACTGCAGCTTAGGCCTACTCCCCGCTGGCAAGTGGACATCCCTCGAGGGCTCCTGGGCTGCCAGAGGGATGTCTGATTGCCAACTTAGGCTCAATCCCCTGGGGAGAGGGCCTAAGCCAGCAGGTGGTCATCCCCTGAGGGGTCCCAGACTGCAAGAAGGCACAGGCCGGGCTGAGGGACTCCCCCGCCTCCCCACCCCGAGTGCACAAATTTTTGTGCACCGGGCCTCTAGTATTTATATAAAAAAAGATTTGGGTTGTTCGCAGGTAAAACATCGATTGATAAATTTGTCTTTGATTCCATGTTGCTGCACAGGTTTAAATCTTAATACCTTTTACCTGCTGTTGGGGGATGGGGAAGGCAGTTCTTCCAAGAGAGGTGAGTCCCCATGGGAGCAGCTGTTCCAGGCCAGGCTGTATGTGCCAAGATGCTTTTCCTCATGTCCAGTTTCCTGGCTGGATATATTCTCATTCTGCAGTGGCTTGTTTTATTGTGGAATAATCAGGGCATTCTTCGTGGCAAACAAAAAAGCTCCTAGCTGTGCTTTTCAAATCCCTGCTCTGAGTTGAATTTGCTTCATTAAAAAAAAAAAAAAAGTAAGGAAAAAAAATCCATAGGAATGTAAATCAGAAATTATTGGGTGTAATCTTATGGGAAGTGAAATGTCAAAGGCTGGCACTTGGAAACAGCAATGTCGAGCAGAGTTGCAGCCCCGACTTGCATGTGTTGAGCCAGGAGTCCAGGCAGAACTGAAAAAGAAAGCAAGTGCTTGCGCCTGGCAGTGTGTCCTTGGGCTTCAGCTCTGTGGCTGCTAGAGTGACGGGACTGCTTTCCCAGGGGCAAGAGGTTGTGCTGAGACATTGAGATGAGTGCATCTTTGCCAGGTTGGTGTTTTACCCTCTGGGGAGTGGGATGTGCATGTGGCTGCTGAGGGAGTTGGGTCATCTCACCCTCATTAGAGGTGTGCCCACTCCCTCCTCAGCTTCCTCCAGCTATCTTGGCCCCTTGCTTACCCCTCTTGAGCTTCCTGAATGCCCATTTGGCTCTGGAGGGCCGTGAGTGCCTTCTTCTGCTCAGTACGGTATTTCTCAATGTAAAGTTGCAGCTCTGGTTGGCAGTCTTACTGCAAAGCCTCATTAGTACTGCCATTTTAAACTGTTTAGGTCATGGGTGTAAGTTTCTTATTGTTTCCCATTCACAGCCTTAGGATATTTAAACATGCCTTTTTCAACCTGCCACAGCTACCTCTGGATCTCAGCTTCCTGTGCTTAGGTTTCTTTCTCTCTACTGCTCTGAAGGGTGGTTCAGGTTATCACTGCACAAAGGGCCTGCCCTACTGCTGAGTGCTTTGATGGTCGTCACTGAACACTTGGTGGGGTTCTTCCTGTGGGAGGGAGGGTAGAGTCTACAGACTAGATCAGGATCTCTCAAGTGGGAACTGTCCTGTTTATTGTTGTATACTATAGTATCCTTTCCTCTATGTACTAAATGCCAGTAACACTTTCTCCCTTCTCCAGTTATGGCAATCAAAATGTCACCAGACATTGCCAAGGTTTGGGGGGCGTGGAGGCACAATTGCCCCAGTTGAGAACCACTGGGATAAAATACGCATCAGGGGCTCCACACTTCCTGAGGCTCCCTCCTAATGGATTGTATTGAGGTATAGACTCGGCAGTTCCCAGGATGAACCCTAGGTTGGGGGTAGCCACAGGACGTAGCCTATTGCCTGTTCTAAGGCTCACACTCATGTACTGGATATGCAGGCTCACTCAATAAGCAGCTTTGGTAGCACATTTGGTCCGACCAGTTTTTGGGGCTGGGCTGCTGCAGCATCAAGTTTGAAGTCCTCTACATCCACACATGTGGACACGAAGCAGCACACCTGACACTTAAATTCTGCAGAGAGAAGGGCAGCTCTGCAATGCCATCTCTTTTGCTCTTTCTGCCTGAATCATGTCTCACTGTCTGCCACCCCAACACCATTAGTAACAATAAAACACTTTTTGCTTTTCAAATCTCAGTGTTTGTCTCACCACCTGTCTCCTCTCTCACCTGCTCTGGTGTCCGTGACACTTACCATCTTCATGTGTGGAGAGGTGTCAGAGAGGAAGTGAGCAGGTTTTAGCCAGCACAATGTTCTACTTCGTCCCTCCTTAGTGGGTGGCCAGGTGCTGCTGCAAGTCACTGGGTCTGTTGGGTCAGGTCCAGCCATGGAACCTGGGAAAGGGCAGAGGTGAGTACCAAGGGCCGTCCACCTGGTTGGCACCTGCATTCAAGGTTGGCCTACCCCAGATTGGGTGCAAACCTTCATTTTCTGAGGCAGTGCTCTCTTTTGAAGATCTGTTCTGGAGACCTTTTTTTTTTTTTTTTTTTTTTTTTAATCAAAGATACCACTTGGATAAAAAGAAAAGAAAGCTCTCAGAAACACATGTTTATAAACAAGTCTCATTAAACTTAACCTTCTCATTGTCTTTGGGGAACTTCTCTCCATGGCCTGAGCACTTGTTCAGTTAGCAGTGAGGAAGCTTGAGCTGAAGATAACTTGTCTTGGCAAGTGCTCCTGAGGCCATCTTCATTGTGTTAAGGCCCTCCAAGAGTGAGAACAGGGTTGTCTGTTTGATGGTGGTCACACCCAGGTCTTCAGGGCTCCCTTTTCCTGTGGACTCGCAGACACCTCCTGCCTTCTGTGCCCAGTCCCCTCAGCAATTGAGGCTGACCCTTTGGGAAACTCCTCACTGCTCTTGGATGTCACTTATGATACCTCCCAGAATTGAGGTTCTGCCTACTGAAAAGAAGCAATGGACTGTGCCAAAAACCTTTATGTGACAGATAATGTCGGTGCCTTTGCTGGATCGTCTTTCATCCAGAAACATGTGATGTATAATAACATTTTTCCAGGTCCATGAATCAATCCATCACATTTTGTTATTTAAAAACTTCACGTTTGACATTTTATTCAGTAGTTCATTTGTCAGTTATGAATTAAAAACAACATCTGTCACTGTCCTATGTGCCTCTTTCATTGTTTCCTTGAGCCTTGCTTGACATACGGCTGGGCACACAGGTTTAGATGAGGCCTGTAAACAGGCCCATGTTAATCTGATTTACACACTGTTGGGGGAAGGGGGGGAACAGGTGTTGTGGGGCGGGGCATAGGTAGTGTTCTCCCTTCATTCTGTGGGGGCAGTGATGGCCACCTAGCAAGCATATGGCCTGGTAGATTGCAACAGTGCTGTAGTGCTCAGGACTCTGTGTGAAGCGCTGACTCCTTCTGCTTCCCTACTCTTGCGTGTGTTCCTTCAGGTCACACAGCCCTGCTTCTCTTCAGTCCTGGGCCTGAGGCTCTGCACTCAAGGATGACCCTGGAAGCCCAAGGAGCATTTCCCCCTTGACTGTGTAATGAGAACCCAGTGAGGTGCTCAGTGCTCTGTGTGTACAGCTCTCACCCATAGTGTAACTGGCCTAGCTGGTGAGGACAGTCCAGGCCTATCATGGATCGTGATGGGCCTCAGCCTGGTGACTGACCTCTTTCCCATTTACCACTGCCTCTGAGGACGAAAAGTTTCTGCTCTAGAGGAATCCACAGGCAGCAAAATCTCAGACATATGCCGAAGCAATATCTTCACCGATATAGCTCCTAGGGCAATGGAAACTAAAGAGAAAATAAACAAATGGGACTACATCAAAATAAAAAGCTTCTGTACAGCAAAAGAAACCATTAACAAAACAGCAAGAAAGCCCACTGCCTGGGAGAACATATTTGTCAATGATATCACTGATAAGGGTTTAATCTCCAACATTTACAGGGAACTCATAGAACTTTACAAAAGGAAGATAAACAACCCAATCAAAAAATGGGCAACGGACCTAAATAGATACTTTTTGAATGTGGTACCATCTCACACCTGTCAGAATGGCTATCATCAACAAATGACAAGTGCTGGCGAGGATGCAGAGAAAAAGGAACCCTTGTGCACTGCTGGTGGGAATGCAGACTGGTGCAGCCACTGTAGAGAACAGTATGGAGCTTCCTCAAAAAACTAAAAATGGAACTCCCATTTGACCCAGTGATCCCACTTCTAGGAGTATATCCCAAAAAACTAAAACACCAATCAGAAAGGACATATGCACCCCTATGTTCATAGCAGCACAATTTACCATAGCTAAGATTTGGAAACAGCCTAAGTGCCCATCAGCAGATGAGTGTCTTAAAAAACTGTGGTACATCTACACAATGGAATACCACGCTGCTGTAAAAAAGAAGGAATTCTTAACCATTTGCAACAGCATGGATGGAACTGGAGAACATTATGCTAAGCCATATAAGCCAGTCAGAGAAAGATAAATATCACATGATCTCACTCATTTGTGGAATATAATGAACAACATAAACTGATGAACAAAAACAGATCCAGAGACAGAGAAGCATCGATCAGACCGTCGAACCTCAGAGGGAAGGTAGGGGAGGGTGGAGGTAAGGGTGAGAGATCAACCACAGGACTTGCATGCATGCATATACTAGGTGTACCGGTTAATAACGCAGATTTTTTTCAATAGATGGAGTTACACATATGTTGATATATATGCAATTTGATATGTAAGCTATTTTGTTGTATTGACAACAAGCTTCAAAACATCATATGTCAAATTTTCTGAAGGTGTTAATATCATAGATATTTTTCATGCCAAAAAAAGAGCATTTGCAGGAAGTTTTAATTCATTACTTTATTTTGAAGAAAAGTGCTGTTGAAAGTGATCGTATACTTCGGGAAGCTTATGGTGAACGTGCTCCATCTCAAGATCCTTGTGAACGCTGGTTTAAACGCTTTAAAAGTGATGATTTCTATGTGAAAGACAAAGAACGTCCAGGTCAATTTGAACCACGCTTTGATCGTGAAACGACCAGAATGGGTCAGAAGACACGGCAAAGTAATTCTGTTTCATGATGACGCACCATCACACACTTCAAAACCAGTTAAAGACACGTTAAAAGATCTTGCCTGGGAAGTATTAACCCACCCGCTGTATTCATCAGACCTTGCTCCTTCAGATTACCACTTGTTCTGATCAATGGCACACGCACTTTCTGAGCAGCACTTCAAAACATACGAAGAAGTGGAAAATTGGGTCTCTGAACCGTTTGCCTCAAAATAAGAAAAGTTCTATTGGGATGGTATCCACAAATTACCTGAAAGATGGGGGAAATGTGTAGCTAGCGATGGACATTACTTTGAATAAAGCACTTTTTAAAAAAAATATATATTTTATTGATTTTTTACAGAGAGGAAGGGAGAGAGATAGAGAGTTAGAAACATCAATGAGAGAGAAACATCGATCAGCTGCCTCCTGCACATCTCCTACTGGGGATGTGCCTGCAACCCAGGTACATGCCCTTGACCGGAATCGAACCTGGGACCTTTCAGTCCGCAGGCCGACGCTCTATCCACTGAGCCAAACCGGTCTCGGCAAAAATCTGCATTATTAACCGATACACCTAATAAGCCTAACCAATGGACACAGACACCAGGGAGGTGAGGGCATGAGTAGGGATGGGGGGTGGAGGGGCAATGGGGGATAAGGACACATATGTAATACCTTAGTCAATAAAAATTTTTAAAAAGTTTCTGCTTATCTCCAGGTAAGTAATTGACTTTGTACTTCTGTTATGATTATATACTTTGCTTATAGGGACAAATTATTAAAGTACTGACTGAACCTCAGAGCATGGTCCAAACCTTTGGTACCTCCTGTGAGATGGAGTATTTATAAAATGTATAAGGCACAGTTGACTTACTGCAGAGCCATAGGGTGTTGGAGAAAACAGTTTTCTATAAGTAAATGTGGCACTTTGGGCTCCCGTTCCAGCTAGAGGATATGTACTGCTGGCTGCCTCATTTAATATCAGATTCTCTTAGATCCGTGGTCGGCAAACTGCGGCTCGTGAGCCACATGCGGCTTTTTTGGCCCCTTGAGTGTGGCTCTTCCTAAGCCTTAGGAGTACCCTAATTAAGTTAATAACAATGTACCTACCTATATAGTTTAAGTTTAAAAAATTTGGCTCTCAAAAGAAATTTCAATCATTGTACTGTTGATATTTGGCTCTGTTTACTAATGAGTTTGCCGACCACTGTCTTAGATGTTTTTTACAAAGTCAATTAGTTATATTCTCCTAATAGTTCATTGATACTGTGTTTGGTTGATTCCTTCATATTTTCATACTTTGCCTGGAGTTATAATGATCTTAGCAGACCTTTAAGTAAAAGAAGCCTGACTCCTCTTGGCTGTGGTGCAGCTCCAAAGTTCTTGATGATGGCTTCTTGGTTGGGAACAGGGACATGATGTGTATTCTGTGGTGACACTGCTTGAGCTTGCCTGCCACGTGGAGCCGAGGTTTATATGGCACTGCGGGACTGCCCAGGCTCCTGCCTGTTCTTGCCATCTGCTGCCTCCGTTTTCCACCTCCATGCTCATCGTGTTTGGGTTACAGGATGTACTGTCTAGCTTTGGTTTTGACTTTGTTATGTGTTTTACGCATCTCAAGATGAACATCATCTCTTGTGGTGGCTGAGCTGTCACCACTGCACACTGTTGATTACTTTGTGCCCACCTGTCTTTCCTGTTCTTGGTGCAGTTTCTATAGGACTCTGACTTTTTCATAGTTTTCTGTTTTTCCCTTCCCTGTTTAAGTAGAAAGAGGAGTATTTTTGTCTGTCCTTTATGAACAAATATATACACTATACAAGGAACAGCTTTGTATGGCTCCACTCCCTTAGCTATTCAGATTTATAAAATTAAGCACTCAGTTGTTGTTTTGATATACCTGTATGTATTGTTACAGAGTCGTGATTTTTCCTGTTTCAGCTTATCCTAATTATCTGTACTTAACTGATCTCTTTTTAGTGTTTACAGCACAACTTGGCCAGTAGTGGCCTCTACAGGCCAGCTTCCCTGCTTCCACAATTTGTGACGGCACCTTGTTTTCAGTCCCAGCAAGGGATTCTTGGATCATATTGATTATCTTTCTTCTGTTCCAAGACATGGAGTCAGATGCTCTCCTGGTTCTTTTAATGGGAAGTACTATTAGAAACAGATCTGGATGCTCTGGATGCTCTGAGTTCACTTCATATTGTTCTATAACAATCTGATGATGAGTAGGCTAATGATGTCACTGCTGAAACACTTCAGGGTCAGAGCTAAAAAATATTTTTTTATGGTTGTGGGTACAACTTCTATGTATTTCTGATTTGATGCTATCTCATCCTTTCTTAATTCCAACCTAAATTTTTAACTGTATTTATAGCCACTTTTGTTCAGTGTTTCTATATCTCATTGACAACTGTTCTGTTATCACTTTATCGACAAATTATCAAATTGCTTTCCAGAAACATTTTAACAGCAACACAGGTTTATGGTGCCAGCTGTACTTGTAGGAATATACTTGCTTTATTCTAGTCTTGCCAGCATTGGGTGTCTCTGTGTATTGAAAACATTTAATAATTCTTATCTATTTATTTATTCTCCCTAGTTGAAAATTTACCATGCTGCCTCTTTGCTTTAATGTGTTTTTTTGTTTGTTTTTTGGTAATTTTTATTTATTGATTTTTAGAGAAGGAGGAAGGAAGAGAGAGAGAGAGACAAACATTGATTTGTCGTTCCACTTATTTACGCATTCATTGGTTGCTTCTTGCATACATGTGCCCTAACCAGAGATTGAACTCACAACCTTGGCATATCAGGACGACGCTCTAACCAACTGAGTACCTGGCCAGAGCTCTGGTTGCTTTAAATTATCTTTGAGCCGTAACCAGTTTGGCTTAGTGGATAGAACATCGGCCTGTGGACTGAAAGGTCCCAGGTTCGATTCCGGTCAAGGGCATGTACCTTGGTTGCAGGCACATCCCCAGTGGGAGGTGTGCAGGAGGCAGCTGATTGATGTTTCTCTCTCATCAATGTTTCTAACTCTCTATCTCTCTCCCTTCCTCTCTGTAAAAAATCAATAAAATATATATATTTTAAAAAATTATCTTTGACTACTGCGTATGTTTTCATCTCTTGGTTACTTGAGGTATTTTGGTGCCTGTTCCTTGCCTATTTCTTCTTTAAAAGTCTTGGTGATTTAGAGATTTGAATGAGTTCTTATTATAATTTAATGCAGTCATACGTGATACAACTATCCTATATAATAAAACCCTAATATGCAAATGGACTGAATTGCAGAACAACCGGTCACTATGACGCGCACTCACCACCAGAGATAAGTGTACTCCCACAGGGGGAGCGCTGCTCAGCCAGAAGCTGGGCTCATGACTGGTGAGGGCAATGGCAGTGGCAGGATCCTCTCCCGCCTCCGTGGCAGTGCTAAAGATCCCTCGGGGGACATCCCTGGAGGGGTCCCAGACTGTAAGAGGGCACAGGCTGGACTGAGGGGACTCCCCCTGCCCCCCAGTGCTGCACGAATGTTGTGCACCAGGCCTCTAGTTTTTTATAATAGCTCATAGAGATGTAATTCATATACCATACAGTTCACTCATTTAAAGTATATAATTTAGTAGGGGTTTGTGTGTTTTGTGTGTGTGTGTGTGTGTGTGTGTGTGTGTGTGTGTGTTTATTCAGAGAGGAAGGGAGAGGAAGAGAGAGA